CCAGTTAACTTAATAAACATAAGTTAGCAGCTAAATATATTCTATAAATTGCATTTCGACATCACTCTCAGAATCACAAATCAACCTTCCATTTTAGTAAACATAGAAGTAGTGCATCAATTTTCTGTCTCTTAAATCCAAAATTAAGACAAATAAGCAAAAGAAAAGTGGCAAAATAAGTGAATTACCTCTGTGATGAGAAATCAACCAATTATATATGCAATAGGAAACACAAAACAGATGCCATATCAAAGTGGATACGGTCTTATTCATGACAAACAATTAGATGGGTATCGCCAAAATAACCAACACAAAAAAGAAAAAGCCAAAATGGTGAACATACATGGAAAATAGAGCTTGTTTTGAGGATCAAGACTGAGTCTGCGACGAGTTGGAAGTAAGGATTTTGCAACAGAAGAAACCTTAAGGGAAGCATGAACATTAGAATGATGATCCACAGACATGCCATTATGATGCTGTAGTTGTTGTTGCCTAAAAGAAGAAGAGGAAGCAGCGACTGAGCTGCTATTTGAATGCCAAAATGGCAATTTACAAAGACCCCAAATCTTGCTATCAGAAACAGATTTTTCATTAGCAAGTGCCATTGTTGTTAATTTGGGTTTTACTCCACTAGCCAATTGTTGGTAGTGAATGAGAGAGCATTTAGGAGTGGTGGGTGTGGGTCAAGGATGCGAGTTACATAGCGTGGGAATGATGGGTTGTTGTCATAATTTGTATGTATGGGGAGTGTGACACAGTTATTGCTGTTGGTTTGGCTGTTAGTTGAATCTTATATTATATATATATACTTCTCCTCATTGGTCCATTTCCATTCCTGTTGCTTTTTTCCTCTTCCGCTTCCTCCTTTTCTGTATATCTTTTTTTTCTTTTTCTTTTACATTTTTCATCCATTTCTTTCTCAATCCACAATGAGTAGGATTTAAACATATTTATACAATTATTAAATGCTTTTTCCAATCTGGAGGCGGATCCAAAGCTTTCAAATTAAAGTTAAAGCATGCATTGAAAGGCATAATTTGGCGTGATGGATTGATGCTAGACGCCAGAATATACTGTAGGATTTAATGAAAAGAACAGCATAGGCAATTTTTTATTATTGATGATATTCTCATGTGGCCCTCTAGTGCTAAATTTTCCTTTCTTTTTCATTTTCTCTACAATTTGGCTAATAGTTGGGGGATACCATTACACCCACTGGCATTATCTAGAAATTCGAATTAATACTTCCATTGAAGTTCGGTATTCATAGAAGAATTGCACCATCAGATGGGTGGCGGAGATAGGATTATCGCGAAGGGGTTCAAAAAAAGAAAAAGTTAAAAAGGTTATAGCTAGTGGAAATAGAATCAACGACCTTATAAAAGTTTTGAACACCTTTGACCACTAAGCTATGTTTTTGGGTTGTGTCAAGGGGAAAAATTTAATTTTGTGTCTCATACAACTGAGACTAGTTGTATGATGCATCTTTTTTGTTTCATAATTTTATGAATCCAGATTTTTGTGGACCCAGAAGTGTAAGATTGGGGACCACAAACTTGTAAGACAAAAAGGAATCACACACAATAAAACTTCTCACGACTTAAAGTCGTGACAGTCACAATAGAAAATAATTTTTTGGTTGCTCCAAAACTCCTCTTCAATCTTTCTATCGAAGCAATTATAGATTTTACTCTTCTTTGTAATCATTAATTCCTTCTTTGTGATTGACCCTACTCCTTGACCAAAGTCAAAATAATTACATTATAATTTCTTATGGAAGGGAGTCTCTTCTCGGGGTTTGGTATTGCTGGCAATTTCATCTTCACCAATTAGTGTAAGGTTTCAGTTCTTCTCATTTTCTAACTCCTCCTGTACTATTTGTGGAACTCTAAAAATTAAGAAAGAAAGATTAAGGTAGAGTTTTCTCTTAATGCCCGTCCAATTGGGCCGTTCGGTAGCTAAAGTGGATAGGCGACCTTAGTCAAAGTGGATTGTATTCTCACATTGCATGCACATGCAAAACAAATAGGGATAAACAATAAATTTAGAGGCCCAAATCCAGCATTACCTTTCGAGTAAATTCTAAATAGATATGATGTTTCAGCAAATACAATAAATATCACATAAAAATTGGACAAGAGAATAGCATGTTTTACCGCATCTAAAGTAAACATAGGGGGACGAGTGATCAAAGCTCTTGTCTCATGTTATCATGAGAAACAAACATTCACCTATTTTTAGCACGTAGCTGATGAATGTATAAATAAAAATTGAAAAACATGAGAGATTAGGCGTTAATTGTTATGTGCTCGAATTAGACGAGGTTCAACATTAGAAAGCAATATGCTTTTTAAAAATGTTGATCTACTAATGTCGATTATAGCAGATATTCGTTCTTCTAATTTCGTTCTCAAATTTAGTCTTATCCTTTTTTTTTCAACTCCTCGTTTTAATTTGTGTTGCACATTACGATAACATCAAGGCGCCAAGTAGGAAAGGTTCTCATTCAAGAAATATCCAATTTGCTGAATGGTCATGTATGTCGCTTTTTTGTTGGCTATTTCCATTTGCGTAATTGGGATTTTAAAGTAGTACTCGTCGATTTTCACTTCAAATTTTACTAAACGAAAAATAAAAAATGAAGTTAACACATAAAATGGTGCAAAACCTCAAAATTACAAGATAATTGAGTCAAGATATGTGGATTGCGAAAGACAAAGAAAAGGTCTGTCTATTAATTTTGGCTGGGCAATTTAGCCTCAAGCTTTGAAAAATTACCCGTTTAACCATTCATCATTTGGCCTCTCAATATTGTCAAAGACTATGTACAAACAGATAACACTAAATTTAACTGCTATAAAGATTCAATTAGGACCCCAACAGCTCAAATACATGAATTTCCTCAGAGACTCTTCAGACTGCTTCAATTTGTTTGCAGAAACCAAAGAAGAAGAGTGAGGAGAGAGCTTCTTGGCCTGTGAATATGACCTCAAATTGTTCTTAGTGTGCTGATGTATGGCTCTTAATGTGTAGTTCCACCTACAAATTCCTTGATCTTTCAGTGCCTCTACCACTCCCAAACTTACTGCTGTAACCCATGCCCTGCTTGTTGAACTCATTTTTTCAGTCTTGATTCTTGAAACTCTTTGATAAGTTTGTGAAGGTTTCTAATTTGTTGAAGAAGGCTACTGCTTTTGAAAAGACTTGAATTTTATGTTTGTTGAATTCCCAGAGATTTGATGCTTCTGAATATATAGGTAAGTGCTGAACAAAACCAGAGGCTTTTGGCTGTGAATTCCTCTGGTTTTGGAGCATGGTTTTCAACACTTTTGAGTGTGGTGTGCGGCTGTGAATGTACATTTTTGCCCTTGCATAAAATAATTTTTTGGATTATTTTTGGAGACGATCGAGCAGAATGATATGTGCTGATGCACATAATGCCAAAATACATGAACAATAAGATCGATGCACACGGATTGGCTAAGATTAAAGAAAACCCACTTGTATGTTGAGCCTAAACCATGAGAAATTATCTTGAAAATAAAACCACATAAATGTTGGGCTTGCGTCTTTAGCAGTATCACGTGAAAACCCACACGGTTAGAAAATTTGGCTTTGTTGTATGCATATATTTTTATTTTAATTTATTTAGGCCCGATCTAACTTGGCTTGATCATTTTTTCATTCGAGTTGATCAGCTTGTTTCGGAAAGTCCAGCTTCACTCAGTCAAAGTTCGAGCTCAAGAAACCTAACTCAACTCCACTCGGTTGAGTTCATCCCTTTGTGTAAAATGCTAAGTGAATTAGGGTGTGTTTGGTATAACGGAAAATGTTTTCCAAGAAAATATTTTCTTGAAAAACAAGTAATAATCTTATTTATTTTTCGGTGTTTGGTACACAAATTAAGGAAAATAACTTCTCAAGAGTATTCATAAATAATTTAGATACAATAAACATGAATCCATAAACTTTCGAACCACCAATCTTCTGAACCCACAAATTTCACAAACTTCTGAACCGCTAAACTTTTGAAACCGCGAACTTTCAAACCTGTAAACCTTATAATTTCTAAAGCCGTAAACTTTCAAACACATATACCTCCGAACTCATAACTTTGAAACCTGTAAAATTTCGAACCTGCAAACCGAAAGATGAAAAAACTAAACTGAAAATATATTTTAAAAAAAAATCTCGAGGGGAGGAGGGGAGGGGGTGTGCAGAAAAACTAAAAAAACGAAATTTGAAATTACAAAAATGAAGTACAAAAAAATATTGTGCAGAGTTGTGGGGGGGGGGCTGTGGGTTGGGGTGGGTGTGGGGTTGGTTTGTTGAGGGCGGGGAATAGGGTGGGAAGGTTGAGAAGAAGTTTTGAAAAATATTTTCCTTTCCTTTGATAAGGAAAACATTTTCCTCCAATTGGAAGAAAATGAGTTCATAAGGAAAATATTTTTCAAAACATTTAAGCCAACAAAACATGGGAAAATTAGAAAATATTCCTACCAAACACACGCTTAGTAATTTAATGTACTACTATGTGTTAGAGAAATACACTTGTTACTCATCTATTGTGTAAGGTTATCCAAAACAGTTAATAAATCCTTAGTCACACTACACCTATTGCCTTCTGATTGGGTGATCAAATTCTTTCAGATATGTTTCATAAATACATTTAAATTAATAAAATATAAAAATTAGTAGTATGTTAAGAAGAAATACCATGTTACTAAATTCATGTTAGATCGTTGATGATAAAGGATAACTAATAAACTAGATTTATTAGCATCAGGATCAGGGACTTTTTTTTGGACATTATCGCAGACTTCTAGCTCCTTTCAGAAAATTTGCATTTGCTTAATGATCATTTGTACGTATTTCAAATTTTAAAACCATCTTCATTATTGCAAGCATGCTGAAGTAATGCAAAATATTACTACTATAGTTGATCCATCAAAACATTAAGACATCAAAATTTCCGCAGTAACTCATAGATAATTTACATATAATCGTAAGGTCGCATGCCTTTATATTCTATTTACAGTCATTTTCTACATCATATTCCTTTTTTCCCCCTTTTTCAACTTGAAAATCTTCAAGTCTCTGTAAAAATGACGATGAAGGAATCTAATGAAGAAGAAAATAAGATCAGTTGGGACCCCAACAGCTCAAGTACATAACTTTCCTCAAAGACTCTTCAGATTGCTTTGCCTTCTCACTCCTTGCAATCAGTGAGGAGGAAGAAGTAGAAGAAAGCTTCTTAACTTGAGAGTAAGATCTCATATTATTCTTAGCGTGCTGAGCAAAGGACGTCAAAGGGTAATTCCATCTACAAAAACCTTGGTCTTTTAAAGCTTCCACTGCTCCAACACTCGCTGCTACTATCCATGCTCTCCTGCTTGAACTCATGATATATGGTTTTCTTTCTAAAAACTCTTTTTTCTACTTGAGTTTTGATATATGAAATCTTGCTTTTGCTTTTCTGAAATTTTGGATTGCTAGTGCCTAGTAGTAGATTTGATAGTACTGAAGATGATATTTAGAGTTTGGGACTAATGGTTAATATATAGGCAGTGATCAAAAGAAGCAAAGAGTTAAAGGGGAGAAACAAAAGAGTGATAAACCAGTGGTCTTTTTGCTACTATGGACTCTCCAGCCAATGGTTTTCTAGTTATTTTATCCTTGAAGTAAAGGAGACTACATATATTTACTTATCCATTCATTGGTTCTGATTTTTGAGACAAGAGTTGGACCACACTCTTTTTTCCTTTTTGGATCGTCGTTACGCACCGTTTTGTTTTGTATTGTATTGTATTGTATTATATTGTATTGTATTGTATTGTATTGTATCGTTGATAAATACAATGTTTGGATGGAATATTATCTCAGTTTGCTGTTATTTCATGGTATCACGCACCAATAATATAATGAATGAACTTGCAATATTATAAAGAAAAATTATAATACGGTATATAAGAAGGTAGGACAAATGATAAAATAAATTATTTAATAATAATGAAGGGTGAGATTGAGAGAAAAAGACAAGGTAACGATGCGAGCACACCAAATCGATTGTTACAACATTTCATCGTTACGTAACGACGGATTTAACGATTCGATACAATAAAATTTAAGTAACAATATAATACAATAACAACCATCCAAAAAAGCTGTCAGAAAATTTGGTTTTATTAATTGCACTAGCGACTAAACTTTAGGAGCTCCGAACTTGGATGTTTTCTAAGAAATTCATATGATCTCGTGCAGAAATCGCATAATTTGTTGGGAATAAACCCCTTACCAAAATAATATTCACGGTAATAAAGCGGAATAATAATG